TAATCTATTTTTATTAGAAGTTTTTCTGCTCTTTCTTACATAAAACCCCCCAGCATGCATCTTCTATGTGTGTAAATAATTCCATTTATGGGCTAATTTCAGAGATCCCTGACATCATTGCTGTATAGAGAGAAACTAGCTTGCACATTTTAGGTCTGTGAAATTTTGTGAGAACTTTTTCCTGCACTGGACAGTTGAGAGAAAAAAAAAGAAAAGGACAAAAAAAAGCACATAGGGAATTCTGTTAATTGTGTTCGTGTCTTTAGGCAGAGCTGTGGAAGTCTTGAAATGTCACAGTAGTAAATAACTTTTATTACTTTTTGGCTAATTCTTTTTCTGTTGGAACACTGAATTCTGTGCATATGTATATATGAACACAAATTGAAGGCCTCTACCTCCTGGAGTATACAACTTGGTTTGTTTACCTCCACATGATTTTTTTTTTTTTTAAGTTTAGTGTGGAGACTTGAAACTTGAATGTCCCTTCCAACTTTTGTATTTAAAACAAGACTAGAAAATTGAAGACTGTTTTTCACCTGTACAAAGGAATACTAAAAGGTGGTCTTAAAATTTGAGCCTTGGTCTGGAGAGAAACCATGGTGTTTGTTATGGACAATTAACTGTTAAAGTTATTGTAAGTTATCTGTATTTAGCAGAGTATTTTCAACAAGAGTGATCTGAGCTGGAATTGGAGACTATTAGTAAGTTATGTTTGGAAGTTTTAACTTCAATGAAGTAATTATTTGCTGTGAAAGAGACGAACATTGAATAACTGAACAAAGATGGTGCAATATCTTTGTTTTTTATGAGGCTCCTAAGAATAAAACCAACTGAAGCATTTCAATTCACTTGAATGAGAAACGTGTTTAATTATCGAGCCCCAGAAGACACTGGTATGAAAGGTAAAATCTCAGAGGTTGGTCAGTTAATGTGGCACACTTGCTGGTCACTTTGTAAAATGTAGATTTGGAGTACAGTGGTGAAAACATTAAATGTGACATTTGAAAATGCGGCGGTGGTGTCATTCTTCCCTGCCCGCTGTGTCCCGTCCCGCTCTGCTCTGGGATGAACCCGGGCGGGACGTGCCGCTCCCGGCTCCGCTCCCGGCTCCGGGCGGCTCCTGCAGCCGTGGCTGAGACCGGGCCCGGCGGAACCGGAGCCCTGCGCTCGGGCCTGGCTGTCACGGGACGCGGGCACCCCTGGGCTCTGGAGCTCCGCGTCCACGCGTGCGGGGGAGGAACGGCGGGGCCGAGGTCCGGGACCAGGGGGCACAAGAGCCGGGCTGGCGGGGGCGCGGCTGCCGGCGCCCCGGGGAAAGGGGGAAAAGAACGGGGAAAGAGCGGGGAATGGGGAAAGAACCGGGAAAGAACGGCGAACGGGGCGTGACCAGGGCAGGGTGTGGCCGCTGGGCGGGGCCAGAACAGGGTGTGGCAGGGGGCGGGGCGGTGCCGCGGGACGTGGCCGCCGCCGGGCGCGGCGGGGCGGGGCCTGCGCGGGGGGCGGGGCCAGCGCGGTGATGGCGGCGGCTCCGCGGTGGCGGGAGCGGCTCTTCGCCCTCTATTTCATCTCGCACATCCCGATCACGGCGCTCATCGACCTGCAGCCGCTGCTGCCCGCCGGGATCGCGCCGCGGGCCGTGAGTGGGGCCGGGGGTCGGGCCGGGGCTCGTTCCGCCGATGCGTGAGGGGCACCCGCCGGTTTGATGGGGCCGGGGGCGGCCTGCGCCGAATCTCGTGTGTGGAGACATCGGGGGGGGAGAGGGGGAGAGAAACTGCAGCGAGCGTGTGAAGGAGCGTCTGGGAGAGAAACGGTGCTGGTGCCACGGGATGAGTCACAGCCGGGTCATTCATTGGGGAGGAGCGGGAATGGGAACGGCAGAGGGATGCCTGGCCCGCGCGTCCCGCGGCTGTGGCCGGTGCTGCTGCCGAGAGCTGTGGCGGGGATGTGGCGGCCGCTCCGCGTCCCCCGGGGAACTGGTGCAGGTCACTGCTCGCCCCGGAACGGGCGGTGGGGATGTTCCTGCGCCCAGAGCGGGCTGTGGCTGTTCCACCGCTGCCCAAGGACATCCTCTCCGTGGCCACGGCCCCGCTGTCCCCTCGCTGTCGCGCTCGGCACCGGCGCCCGGAGGCTGCGGCAGCGCGGGGCCCGCGCCACGTGCCCCGGACGTGGCTCCTGCGGGCCCGGGCATTCTCCGATCCCGGGCTTTCCTCGAATTCCTGCCAAAAATGCAACAGGGAATTGTTGCTGCTGCAGGAGCAGGCATGCCAAATTTACTAATTTATTCGTAAAAATCTCTGGCTTGCTGGGTTTTGAACAAAATCATAGAAGACAATATCATAAAATCAATTAAAATAACGGTTGGATGGCAGATAATTAGTTCAGCCCTCATCATCAGGGTGTCACCTCCTGCTTGAGTTTTACAACTGGTGATTTGGTTTTTTCGGAACTGCCAGTAGGATTACACCAGTATAGGAACCATTTCCAATTAATAGTTAACCAGCAGATCTCAATGCATATCTCTCTGTTCAAAGTCCAGCGTAAAGCCATGCTGGAGTTTACATTTCTGTCAGAAACTAATTGCAACTGCCTGAGTCCAAATCCTGGTGCTGAGCTGTTCCCCTGCAGCAGCCCTGCTCAGGACCAGGGGCTCACAGCCTGGTGGCTTCATCCCATAGAGAACCACAAGCTCTGCCCTGCTCTGGTGGATGCTCAGTGACTGACTGTCGTTTTGGGCTTTTTCAGCTGACAGACCTGTTGCAGCAGTATGCAGCTTCCTTCAGGGACCCCCTGATGCTGCAGCCCCCAGAGTGGTTCAAGGCGTTCATCTACTGCGAAGCCTTTCTCCAGCTGCCCTTCTTCCCCATCGCTGCCTACGCCTTCCTGAAAGGTGGGGGCAACCAGCATGATCGAGGGCATGTCCTGGGGGCATTTCTGCAGGACTGCTGTGCAGCAGAGAATGTTTCTGTATCATGATTAGGGGGTTTGAGGGGGGTACTGCAGAGGGCTGGGCTGCCAGGGCCCACATGAGTGTTCTACCCGAGAAAGCAGCACAGAATAAAGTTTGTCAGGAACAAAACCTTGTAACTACAGGTCCTTGTGAGGTGCAGCCATTTGTGTAACCACCATCAGCATTTGACATCTGGGTAATTTCCAGGCCAGCTAAAGGTCTGGGTCAAGCCTGTATACTCATTTTGTTACTTTAGATCTTTCAGGATCACCCCTTTGTTCTAAATTGCCATCAGGGGAGAGAAATTTCCCTGGTTCCTACTAGTACTGAGGGTTTTTTCTGCTCCCTGTTCCATCTGAGCAATGGCCTACCCTGGCAGAGAGGCAGCAGTCAGTGTTCTGTCACTCGGAATTCTGGGTGTTTCAAAATACTTAAATATTCTTTCCTTTTTGCTTCTGTACAGGTGGCTGCAGATGGATCAGGACTCCTGCCATTATCTACTCCACCCACGTGGCCACCACTCTGTTTGCCATCCTGGCCCACATCCTGTTCCACGACTTCTCCAAGGCGGAGCACGCGGGGCCGCAGACGCTGCGCGAGCGCCTGGCGCTGCTCTCCATCTACCTGCCCTACCTGCTGATCCCCCTGCTGCTCCTGTTCACCATGCTCTGCAACCCCCACTACAAACACGTGGAGAAGAGGAAAAGGAAGTAGCTGGCTCTGGGGGCCGTACACACCACACCTGTGCTGCACCTGGTTCCGACCCTGCGCTGGCGGAGTCCTCTGGGACAAACGTCTCCCTCGTGTTGGCTGCACTGGCTGCTGCAAGGAAAAATGGAATTGGGTGGAGTGCACAGCCCTGCTTCGACTACACACAGCTCTGGCAGGGGCCTGGGCCAGCCTGGGGTCAGGTCTGTGCAAGGCCTCTCTCCCAGGAAAATGGTCTTTTAACGCTTTGATGTGTAACTCTGTGAGGGGACACGCACACACACACACTCACACCCTGCAGCTGATACTGTTCTTCCAAGGTCCCTTTTCCCAAAATGACTGTTTGGAAACCACTCAAGTAGGAAATCTGTCTTCCAACCACATATTCTGAAGAATTCCCAACCCATTACACGCAGATTTGCAAAGCTGTTCTTTTGAAGCATTCCAAATCATATCATGATTCTTAACTTCCTTGCCCCTTCCTTTAAAATTTCCACTGCCTTTGCTCTGCTTCATTTTGATTAATTATAAATGTCTGATCAATGATAAATGTGCCAAAATCTGGATTCATGAATGCTTAAAGTTACCCTTGACAACCAGGAGTACTGCCCAGAGGATTCTGAAGTACTTCAGGAATTGTAACCAAGGAGTTGGAAATTTCTTTCTTCCCTAAAATCACTTCAGGTATGGAAATAAATAACTAAATGCATTAAACTGCATTCAGTCTTCTTCAGGGAATGGCTGAAGGAACCTGCAGTGACCATGAGATGGTGGAGAGTTCACAGAGTAAATCCATGTGTAAGTTACAACTACAGGTAGAAGTTCTGTGGTTGGGGTTGGTTTTCATCTGGAGCCTGGTGAGGTGTTGGGCCCTGTGAAGCTGCCCAGGCACTACTGGCACGTTTTATTCACTGTGTGAAGTTGAAGCCTTCCCCAGGCTTTGGAAAGGGCAGCATTTCCATACTGAAGTGCTGCAGGCATACACAAAATGCATCTGTTTGCACTTCCAACACGAGGCTTGAGCTCACACTTGGTTTGTGCACTCCTGGTGTCACTGACACTCACAATGGTTTCCCTCATCAGTCTGGTGTTCCATCCTAATAATGCCCATAAAAGGATTCAGCTCTCATGACAGTCCTGAATGGACATTCCTCAGGAACAGTTCAAAGTTCTAAATTCTCATGTAGTTTCTGCTTTTTTGTGTCTGTAATTGGTCCATTCTGGAAATCATACATTTCTGTCTGTTTTTAATAATTCTATAGAAAAAGTAACGCAGATATAGATCCAATACTGCTGCTTGTGTGTAAACCTTTACATTGAAAAATAACAGAGGAGGAGCAACTAATTCTAGTACAGCCAGACAGTCTGAGAACAATAATTTATTTTCTGATTTCTATGAAAGAGCTGTAGACTTCAAAAAGCGACACAACAAAGCACCAGTAGCATTAATTCAACTGGAATTTGAATTAGAACTACTGACTGTACAAAACTGGTATAAAATCAAAGGCCAGAACAGTCTGTGCAGCTGTGAGCTGTCAGCCCTTCTTATTGCCATGGTACACTCCAGCCGAGGTACAGCCCCTCCATTGCACAAACCATCTGCATTCCTGCACAGTGGAAATTGCATATTTCTGAAATTCTCAAGATTCTGGAATGGTCAAGTTTCCATGTGAGCTGGTTTTTATCTTAAAATCCTCTATTTCTGGAAGATGAACTGGTCGATGAATTCGTTCTGGTCCGCTTCGATTTTGCAGAGGGTCTCGTACTCGATCCGGTACCTGTGAGACAAACCAGAGGATCCAGCAGCCCGTGTGAGGGGGTCAGGGCAGCCCTGGGAGCTGGGAGGGGAGCTGGGCTGCCTGTGTGAGTCACCTGCCAGCAGCAGGTGCCTGAGTCACACACACAGCTCTTTATCAGCCAGACTGAGGCGATGCAGCTGTCAGGGTTCTGCACTGCCCCTGCCCGTGCTGCCTCTGTTCAGCCCTGAAGTCCTCAGGGATGAACCTTCCCTGGGTCACTGCAGGGCCTGAAGGTGACTCCAGGCCTGTGGCATTGTTCCCATGTGCTCTGGCCAGGACGCCTTTGATACAGGTGGGGCTGTCTGAAGCAGCCCAGGGTCCCACAGCACAGGCAGACAGCCCTGTGTCCACCCTGAGCCTTCCCAGCCTGCACTGAACACGAAACTCACCTTTCCAGCTGCATCTTCTTCTCTGCTATCAAAGCCTGGAGCTGCTGCTCCTGAGCCTCTCTCTGCTTTGCAATCGACTTCAGCAGGTTCCGTGCCCCGATGGCCTGGCAGGACAGGGCAGGGATGTGTGGAGGGGTTTTGGTTAGCTCCTTCAGCCCCTTTCCCTCCCAGCAGGTGGACTGTGAGGCATTTCGGCCATGCCAGCAATAACAGAGGGTGATGCTGTGCTCCTGAGGGGTGGGTGGCAGTTTGGTGTTCCCCAAACTCGAGGAACAAAGTCAGCGACTCCTCTGGATACACAAACTGGGCACTGGCCCTACAGCCAGACAAGCTCAGGCTACCAGAGGCCTCTCCTGCCTCTGCAGGACAAATTCTACCAAGATGGAGTGATTAAAAAGCACACATTCTGTTTCTGTGCAGAAATGTAGACAAGCAGGGAGAGCGGGACTGGTTCATGTGTGAGCAATATGACACTGTCATAAGTTTCATTAATTCATTACTATTGATTAATATTAATATTATCATTGATATCAATTTAAAAGGCCCAGTTAACCCCACAGGAATGCCAGCAGAATACTGACAGAGAATCGTTGCTTCTGCTGTAAAGGGAGGGAGGGATAGAGAGGCCCCACACAGGACAGTGCACACGAGAAGCGAGGAATTTACTGCACAGTACCTTCATCTTCTCACTTTCTACAGCTTTGGCCAGTTGGTCAACGAGCTCAATCAAGCTGCCCACTATGTTCTGAAATTCTGCTGTTTCTGTAAAGGAAAAAATTGTCAAGTGATATTCACAACTTCCCTAAAGAGATCGAACGCTCCTGCTTTGCCGTACAGTTTTTAGACGCAGCTGTACGTTTAGGGTTTACAG